TTTTGAACGCCGCCAAGGGGAGGGGTTCTTTGCGCGGCCCGCGCCACGTTGTTGGCGCAGTGGGGGTTTCGAGCCCGTGGGGGGTGCGTGGCCTACAGGACAGAGGCAGCTGGGGGTTGGCTCGACGGGGCCTGGTGCGTGGAGGGACGCCGGCGGGAGTTGGAGCTTCGTGGGACACGCTGAGGGCGGAGCGCTTCGGTGAACCCATCGGCGAGCGGGCACGATGCCGCGAAGTCAGTTTCGGGTGTTTGAGGATGGGGGGGAGGACGAGAATCGGAAGGCGCAGAAGAAGTGTTGCATGTACAAGTACATCCGCGTGGGACAGAGTCTCGGCGAGAGATTCCGCGGCAATCGCATATTGAAGTGCGTTTTCTGCGGCCACAATTTCAAGGGCAACCAGTTCGTGGCGGCGCGCCATTTCCGCCAGGGCAAGGGATGTCCGAAAGTGACCGACGAGGCACTTGTCGACATCCACTGCAACAGTGAGTACAAGATGTCCGACAAGTTCCTAGAGCGGATGCAGCGATTTGAGGAGCTTCACGGTGAGGCGCCTGCGATGGATCCGCGACGGGACGAGGGGGGGGAGGGAGAGATGAGGGACGAGGAGGAGCAGATCGACGTGGATGACGACGCTGAGGAGGTTGCACGGGCAGGGTCGTCAGGGAGGGAGCGAGGGAAGGGCGTTGTCAGCGAGACGGGGGGGCTGCAGGGCCAGTACTTTGCGTCGGCACACGTGTCTGTTCATACACGGGCAGGTGCGGACACGGCTGAGGTGGGTCCGTTTGCGGGGAAGAGGAAGGAGAAAGAGGAGGGGGCCAGACCGACGGCAGCACAAAAGAGGATGAGACAGAACACGATCACAGAGTCATTCACTTCAAAGTGGCAGATGGAGTTCAAGAAGAAGTGGCTGCGTTTTGTGTACAGTCAGCGCCTGACGTTCAACGTCTTCCGGAGCGAGACGTGGTTGGACGTCGTCCGGTAGTGAAGGTGTTGTGGCCTTCAAAGAATGAGATCGCGGACATAGAGACCATTGTCCACACGGCGGACGATGTGGGAGCTGATCTCGCGGAGGTCAAGGCTCCTTTCTATGTCACGGGGGCCACCGTTATGTCAGACGGAAGGAAGTCACGCGATGCTAGACCCATTGTTAACTTCCTTGCCGGCGGGTCGCGTGGGGTGATGCTCGTCCGGACGATGAACATGGAGGATGAGCGGGATCGGGCTCCTGATGTGTTGGCGCGCTGGATCAAGGTGTTCGATGACTTCTCCCCTAAGTGGGTGAACGCCATCTGCACCGACTCCGCCTCGGCGTACGTCGCCGTGGCGAACATGCTCCAGGGGCCCCAGCAGAGGCCAGAGCATCGACGGATCACGTGGCTCCCATGCGCAGTGCATGTCTGCAACAAGATGTTGTCAGACATTGGCTGTTCAGGCCCGTGGTCCAAGGGCATCATCGTGAGGGGGAGAGCGGTGGTGCGCTTCATTAAGGAGCACAACGCCGCTCTCCATATCTTCCGGGGGAAGAGCGGTCAGATGGGCCTCATCTATCCTTGCGAGACACGTTTTGCATCCGTGTTCGCGATGGTGGAGCGTTTGCTGGCAGTGAGGTCAGCTTTGGAGAGGACGGTGGATGGCGATACTTGGGGTATGGTCCCTTGGGACCATTCCGTTCGTCATTTGGTTAGGTGGGTCAGGTGGCAGGTGCGACATGGCAGTTGGTGGGATTCCATGGGCATCTTGTTCCGTATCATGGAGCCTGTGTACGACCTGCTGCGCAGTTTGGACCGCGGAGGGCTGCATATGTTGTGGGTGGTTGAGTGGACACAGGATCTGGCCCGCCAGGTAGCAGAGGAGGTTTGTGCACTTCGGGCAGATCTTGCACACTGCATTGTGCAGAGGGTGCACGCTCAATGCGCTCACATGCTGGAGCCGGCGCAYGCCGCTGCTCACCTTCTTTGTCCCAACCGGCGGGACTTGCGGTACTTCAAGGGCGAGGTCAGCGACTACGACGCGAGCTTGGTGAGGGAGGCGGAGACTTACATCTTGTCGCAGACAGGGTTCAGTCTGGCGAGCCGCGACTACGAGACCGCATGTGCGCAGTTGCGCGACTTCCACACACGGAGGGGGACGACTGCTTGGGGGGGGAGAGAAAGAGAGAGAGATACACAGAGGTGCAGGGGCGATGCGGAGACGTACGAGTCCGGGTGTTGGTGGTCGAGGTACGGGCAGTGCGCCCCGCAGTTGCAGGTTATCGCTCTTCGTGTGATGTACATGTGGACGTGCTCCTCTCTTGCGGAGAGGAATTGGGCCGTCCACGAGGGTGTATAGACGAAGAAGCGTAACCGGCTTGAGTTTGAGAAGGTCGCAAAGTTGGTTGAGATCTCAGCCAACGTCCGCCTTCTCTCTCATCAGCGGGCAGGCCGCGGGTTCGCGCTGCCGTGGACTCTAGATGAGTCGTTGTTGGACGTGGAGGGAGGTATCGGGATTCGCCCCTCGTGGAAGGGGACGGACGAGAGCAGGACGCGGGAGGAGGTCGAGGATCAGAGACGTTCATGGCAGCGAGACCCATGTGG